CAGTTCACTCCTGCTCGAACTTTCACGGACTCAAACCCACGGGAGTATCGACCGTTCTTGCCGCAGCAAAAGCTAAGAGTCCTTTCTCGGAAACAGGCCGACACGTGTCAGTAGAGAGTGCTTATGAAAAGGGAGGCGCGCGACGGGCGCCACAGATCTCCGCGTGCCTCGCCTCGGAGGTAGCCCCTCCCTCTTCCTCGGGTGGAACGTTAGAACGTTGGCGTCTCCATGGCGATACGACGCTTTCCTCCTCCTCCCGCCCCCCGCCATTCGCGCGCCAGCCAGCAGGTGCGGCGGCAGAGCGAGCACTTACTTACTTACTTACTTACTTACTTACTTACTTACTTACTTACTTACTTACTTACTTACTTACTTACTTATTTATTTATTTATTTATTTATCGATCAATCATTAGGACATAGAACCGGTTGTTAATTTATTTGAATCCCACCACTGTGTGTGAGAGAGAGAGAGATTGGCTGCATTCTGCATGTTCCCAGAGACCTCGCTATTGTTATCATTGCTGTTGAATCTTTCCCAAATTTTCCCTTTTCGAATGAAAAGTCAGAAAGATAGATTTTTGATGACAAAACGTTGTTTACAAGAATGGCCAGCAGCAAGGACTATTTTTAAGACAAGAGTTTATTTTTCTTAATTGCCCAGGACTCTCTGGGTGAAGAAGAAGAGGAAGAATGCACGTTCGTTTCTTGTATTTATTTCTTGCCCTCAAGTCACCTCCAACTCATGGCGACCCTATGAATGAACAATTTCCAAAAACTCCTGTCATCAACAGCCCTGCTCCATTCTTCTAAACTCTAGCTTTTGACTTCCTTTATGGAATCAATCCATCTGATATTTGGCATTCCTCTTTTCCTTCAACTGTTCCTAGCATTATTGTCCTTTACAGTAAATCTTGCCTTCTTATGATGTGCCCAAAGTATCAGAACCTCAGTTTAATCATTTTTTTGCTTCCAGAGATAGTTCAAACTTGATTTGCTCTAGGGCCCACTATTCATCTTTCTGGCAACCTAGGATATCAACAAAGCTCTTCTCCAGCACTATATTTCAAAATAATTAATTTTTTTCTTGTCAGACTTCTTCACTGCCTAGACTTCTCACTTGTACATAGTGATCAGGAATACAACAGTGTTGAGTACCTTGGCCTTGGTCTCCAGTGACACATACGTGATGATTTTTCTAGTTTCTTCATTGCTGCTAATCCAAGTCTCAGCCACCTTCTGATTTCCTGGCAGCAGTATTTACTTGGATTGACTGAACCATTTAAGATTTTCAATTTCTTTACTGTCAACATTAAAATTGTGTCGTTCTTCAGTACTGTATTGTATAGATTTTTGTTATCTTAACATTCAACTGCCCTCCTGCTTTGGCAGGAAAGACCAACAGCTGTCACTTTCTGTAACAATTGTTTCAAGTCATTGCTACTTTCTGCCAGTAAGATGGTGTCATTTATATACAGTATCTTAAATGATTGATTTTTTTTCTACAGTTTTCACTCCTCCTTCATCTGGATTTCCGTATTATACATTCTGCATGGAGACTGAACAGATAAGGGGATAAAATGCACTCTTGTTTGGTACCTTTGCTTACAGGAAACCATTCTGTCTCTCCATCTCCTGTCCTAATGGTAGTTTCTTGTCCACAATAGAAGTTACGCATCAGGACAATCAAGTGCTGAGGCCCATCCATTTCTTTCAGAGTGACCCATAGTTTTTCAAAAGCTTTGCTGTAGTATATAAAGCACAGAAATATGTTTTTCTGAAAGGTGTTGATGTGCTTCAGTACCCAGCAGATATTTGTAATATTTGCAATATGATCTTGAATGTTTCTTGGTGTTGCAAAAGCCTCTATTGCAACACCTTGAACATCACTTTGTTTGCCAGGGAAATTAGAACAATGGTCCTATCATTACTGCATTCTTTGGCATCTCTTTTAGCAACTGGAATGTATATTGAATATTGCCAACCTGTGGGCCATTACAGGTACTTTGTTTTCCATATTTGTTGGCATTTTCTTGTTGGAATTTTGACAGATTCATTCTCTGTGGCTTGAAATAGTTTTTATCAGTATCCTATCTACTCTTGGTGATTTATTTTTTCCTTGTGGTTTCAGAGGAGGTCTGTATACTGTTTCTACCTTCACTTTATTTTCTCCTGGTCAGAAAGTGTGCTTCCTTGTTGGTCTTTCAACATTCCTACTCTAGGCTGAAATTTCCCTTTGATTTCTTGGAACTTCTGGAAGAGATCTTGTTTTTCCCCCTTTTATTGTTCTTTTCTATTTCTTTGCATCAGCCATTTTAATAGTTCACTTTGTCTCCATGTGTCAATCCATTACCCTTGAAGAAGATGGATGCAACTTCGTCTGGTGTCTCAGCTGTGAATATTCTGCCTTGGGTGGCTCTGCTAGGAGTCCAGGCTTGTTATGGAGTCTAGCTTCCTGACGGCATTGTTCTTGGGTCCTCTGACACACACAAACCCCCTCACTATGTTAAGCTGTGCATCCAAGAAGGGGGACTGCACAGCAGCACCAGAAAGCTGACATCTTGCCTGGCCTGAGAGCCAGTCTTCATGACACGTGGCTGTTTTGCTCCTTCTAGTGTTTTAAAAGAAGCCCACTATTGTTACTCTTTCCAGTGCTAGAAAAGTAATGCTCTTTACAAAATGTAACTTGTAACAAATATTTATACTAAATATATTAAACACATTATTATATTATTTGTCTGTTGTCAGTCTGAGCTCTACCCACGTGTTGGCTCTTTCTTTACCTTCACCTGCCTTTTGTGGCATAAATGGACAAAGTAAATGTTTGGGAGATTTTCAGATCCACAAATGGTTGTGGTTGTCCCATCTCTTATTATGTCTATTCCTCCTTTTGTAATTTGACAGAATCGTGTGAAATAGCTACCCCCCCAGCCCACTGATCTTCTGTTCCACACGGCTTCAATGATTTCCTAATTCCTTTCTAATTGCCCTCTGCCTCTTCTCTCTTTAAAGATCTCTTGTCCTGGAGTGTACCTGACAGAGAAGAAAGATGTTTATCTCCACGTTGGCCTCCTGGGTCAGTGCAAGGAAACTGGTTGCCTTCCTCCCATCTTTCCTCTCTTATTTCATGAGAAAATGTGGTTTGAAAAGGTAACTTGGGATTTTATCACAGTCTTTGCATTGATTTTTCTCTGAGCATAGGCACGGTTTTATTGAGTTAGGCCACAGCTCTGCTGGATGCCTCTGGAAAGTTCACAAGAAGGATGTAGGGGCTGCAGCCTTGTTAGCACCATTCAACCACACAGCTGGAAGAGTTGGAAGGGACCCTGACGTTTATCTAGTCCCACGCTCTGCTCAGTCAGAGGTCTGCAATACTGGATTCAGTTTTGACATGGGACGATATGTCTCTAGGAAAGGCATGCCCATGAAAGTTTGTTCCATGAAGAAGAGTCCCCTAACATAATAATATTAATTATAATAATTATAATAATTTATTTATTGTCATTGTAAGTATATACACATACAACGAAATTCACAGACACCCAGAGACCAGACACATGCACACACATAAAATTCCCCATCATTCAACATCTAGCTGAAATCTCATTTCTTGCCATTTCTATCCATCTAGTTCTTCCTCTGGAACAAAAAACAATAATTATTTTCCACTTATATGGTAGCCTTTCAGATAACTGTACAGAATGGAACAGGGATTTTAGATATTATATTATTCATTTCCCCCGTGCTGGCCAGGATTTCTAGGAGTCATAGTCCAAGAACATCTGGGTACCCAAGGTTGGGAACCACTGGTCCAGAGGATAGTGCTCTAGAGCAGTAGTGGTTCCTTATTCCTTAAATAATCTGAAACAAAAATGGGAAACATGTGGCCCTCCAGGTGTTACTGGACTTATCATCTCTAAACCATTGGCTGTGCTGCCTGAAGCTGATGGGAACAGGAGTTCAACAACAACTGGAAAGTACCAGGTTCCCCACTGCTGTTCTAGAACTTGAGAAAGATACTAAATTGTTTCATCTGGGTCCATGTAATTACAGCCCCAATGTAAAAGATCTTTGTTTTGAGATGGGCTGTTACTCACTGCTTGCTGGCTAGCAGCCACAAGAGTCTTTATGATCCTAAGATTTTTTTTTTATCTAGGATCTGAACGCTGTCCATAGGGAATGCTTATTCAAATCAGGGCAAATTCTAAAAAAGATTGGAAGCTTTTAATATAGCTTGAAATTTTAAAAAAAATTGGAGAAATGTAGTCTATGTTTGGGAACTCGTAGGAATACACATGAGTATTTTCATGTGAGATATGAGAATAATGTATGTGAAGTTTACAGTGCATGGCATGATAGTGGATGCCCTTCAGTTGATCATGTCCCTCCTTAAAATTTAAAAAGAAAACACAATTTTTCAAAATGGCCTAGCTCTTTGAAGAGAAACACCAGGCAAGGCAGCTGCCACTACCATCTTAGCCTTCTTTGTAAATATTTCTTGGCATTCTGGGTAAATTAAAATGCTGGCAGGTGCACCTGCTGCTTTGCTTTCTGTGTTTCTTTTCAGTGTTGACTTGCCCCCTGCCAGCACCAGCCATCCTTAGAACACAGGCAGAAGGTGCGGAATAGAGCATCTTGCCCAGAGCCCACTCAAACCATCCTTGTTGAAGATTTTGTCTGAACTCCTCTAGCATGGTTTGATTTTGATTTTGCCCAGTGGCATTTGTTCTTCTTCACAGTGCAGGGGCTGTCATATGTATTAGACCATTTCAAGCTTTTTTTAAAAAAAATTACTGTTAGGTTACAATCCTCAAATTAGTTATCCAGAAGTAAGTTCCATTGAACTCAGTGGGACCTGCTTCTGAGTAGACACGCCTAGGACTGAGCTGTTCCTTGGCTTTATTAATAGCAATGACCTGAACTTTCATTTTCATCAATGGGTCTGCAAGCCAAAAGGACACTTCACATTTTTTGAGACAATATTACATCTGATACATTGATGTGATATAGAACTATAAAATACAGGTAAGTCTGTCTGTCTGTCTGCCTGTCCATCTATTTGTTTGTTTATTTATTTATTTTTGTCCCGCCTTCTTAAAAAGAACCTAAGGCAGCTTACATAATTAAAAAGACAATATTTAGAAGCTAAAAACAGTAGATATGCACATATTAAAAAGGAATTAAACAAGCGTTACATTAAAAACAGTAATAAAGTCAATACTAAAAAGTCATTTAAAACAATAGATTACAACCATTCATTTAAAAACTCTTCTCAGCCTACCAGTTATTAAAGGAAAGCTTGCCTCAACAGAAAGATCTTTGCCTGCTTGCAGAAGGACAGTAAAGATGGGGCCAGTTTGGCCTCCTGTGGGAGGGAGTTGCAGAGCTGGAGAGCAGCAACAGAGAAGGCCCTCTCCTGCGTCCCTGTCAGATGTACTTGTGAAGGTGACGGAACTGAGAGAAAGGCCTCCCCTGATGATCTTAAAGCCCTGGCAGGCTCGTATAGAGAGATGCAGTCTTTTACACTGGAGTGCAAATATATGAGTAATTAAATAAATCAGTAAACATGTATTACAGTGGGGTCTCTACTTAAGAACGTCCCTACTTAAGAACAATCCGACTTAAGAACAGCTCCATTTGCTAAATTTTGCTTCTACTTGAGAACAGAAATCCAAGATAAGAACAGGAAAAAAACCTTTCCTGCTCTTTTTTTAACCTTAGGTCATCTTAGGTTAAAAAAAAAATCTCCCCCTAGTGGTAGAGTACGTATTAACCAGCTTTGCATTAGTTCCCATGGGAACTAATGCTTCAATGTACGGACGCACCTCTACATAACAAAAAAACAGCCAGAGCGGATTAATTGGTTTTCAGTCCATTCCTATGGGAAATTTTGCTTCAACTTAAGAACGTTTCAACTTAAGATCACCATTCCAAAACGGATTAAGTTCTTAAGTAGAGGTTCCACCGTAGTTTCTATGGATGGAAAAGAGCAGATACAGATTAAATGGTTTTCAATGCATTCCTATGGGAAATGCAGATTCAACATAAGAACTTTTCAACTTAAGAACCACCTTCCAATACGGATTAAGTTCTTAAGTAGAGACTCCACTGTATACCAATCTAGCAAATACTCTGATCAGTTGATCGTTCTTGTTTCTGTTCTGTAGGTATTTGAAAAGGCTACAGATCCTGTCACTGTTGTAGAACTGCTGGCAAGTAAGTTTCTGAAAACATCTTCCTCCTATTATTGGTAGCCCCATTCAACTGAACTGGTTTATGGACTAGATAATCCCACCTCTGAGTTCACACATTCTTAAGCAGCCTCCGCCGTTACTCATGAATGCAACATGTATGTCTGCGAGGAAGGAGCCATCACCTTTACAGCTGTACAAAAGAAGTTCCCTTCTCTACAAATATTCATGCTATGTGTGTAGATGACACTGGTGTGCAGGCTAGTTTGAGTGTGCAGTGTCAGAGATAAGGTTAGTCCCAGGAACCTTAGTTCCCGTCATGTTCTGATAGTATATATTAAGTCACATTGCCTGAGCAATGTTTTAGGCTGAATATACTCTAGTGATTTCAGATAGATATAGCTAATGAACTGGTGCAGCTATAATGATACAATATAGCCTCAAGCTTACATATTCTTTCATCTAAGAAACTAATATTAAAACTAGGTAAAGATCCTTGTGACATTTTAACTCAAGTTAGTGATAACAGGCCAGGATCAAACCATGATTTCAACTCCTGATCTGTTCTAGTAGCTAGTTTGAAGAAGCAAGTTAATCAAAGTCATAGGTTGTAGATCAGTGACAGCTTTTGATCTCCTTCTTGTGGGCCTGAAAGGACAGATCAAGCAGACTCAAAACTTCCTGTATTTTGCTACTGTAACAGAAAGCCATGATTTCCTCTTATCTCTGTTCCAGCTAGTACTGTATGTCTTGATTCTTGTTTTACATGTATTGAGACAAGCTGGTTGTAGCGTTCCCCATGTATTAGGTCAATGGTTCATGTTTTGTGATGTAATTGTTCATGCATATTCATGTTGCTGAGAGGCAGAGCTGAGAGAGATGCTATAAGAGGCGGAGTCAGAGTCAGTCAGTCAGAGTCATAGAGACAGTAAGAGTAACAGAGTCAGTAAGAGTGGAATATGAGAGAAGGGGATAGAGTGTGGGGAATTCTGAGGTGTGATTAGACTTAGGAGTGTATTATCTAATAGAAGGTTGTTGTTAATAGCAAATTGATTTAAAGAAGACATCCATGAATCAGTTTAAGTCTCTGTAATCAATAAACAAAAAGTTCTATTTAAAAGACCTTGAAGTGTGGACCTGAATCTTCCTGAAGTTATGGTGATTTAGTGATCACCTGGTGGCAGCAGTATAAAAGAGGGGAGTGTTTGCCTTTGTGTGCTCTGAGGCTTGAGGGTCAAGCAAGGGGCATGAGGGTGAACACCACAATTGGTGTCCAGCGGCAGGATATGAAGGAATCCAGTGAAGCCTGAGTTTGGACTTGAAGAACTCCAGTCAAGCCTGAGTTTAAAAATAATTTTTCTTGAATCAAGGGTACCTTTTAGACAGAGATCTGTGGCAAAGAAGTTTGGTTCCTCACTAGAGCTTTTGGGAAAAGCTTAGTGGTGGGGGCTTCTGAACCCAGATCTGAAAGGTCTGAGATAGGGAACGACTCTGAAAGAAAATTCTTGTATTTTACCTCAGGATCTGAGGACCAGTGGGCTAGCTTAAGGCTCAAGGCTCTAAGAGTTTAGAGTGCGCTTGTGAAAAAGCCGAAGCCAGGGGTCAGAGCAGATCTGAGGGAGGAGAAGAAAAGGCCTTTGCTTGAAATAGAATTATTTTAGTGACTGGAAGTAAAAGAAGACAGGTCCTTTAAAAATAAGTAAACACTCTGTACTAATCATCCCAGAAGTAAATACACCACCTAAATGTACCAAAAGAGGGAATCCTGAGGCTGAGGTTTTACCTCAAGAAATGGAGGGAAACAGTGACTTAACCTTATCTGAAATAGAGCAGGAGGAAATTGATGAGGGTGCCTCAGAGGAACAAAAGGAATTAAGCTCCCAGGAGTTTGAAAAATGGAAGCTGGAACGGGAATTTAAATTTAAAGAACTACAGCTCCAAGCTGAGCAAGAGGCTAGACAAATGGAGTTACGACAAAGAGAAATGAAACTAAGTCAAAAAGAGATGGATTTTCAATTACAGATGAGACAATTAGAAATTTCTGCTCCAAACAATAATCGTAACAATAACAACAATGTTGGAGGGGGAATTCTCAAAAAAATTGATTTTAAGAAGTTTTCCCAATACAAAAGAGGGGACTGTCCCGAATGTTTTTGCATTGATTTTGAGCAGGAGCAAAAACAACTAGAAATGAGGGCTGAGGAAGAGATATTACAGCTCAGAGCTGAACTGAGAGTAAAACTGATGGAATTAAAAGTCCAAAACTATAATAATAATAAATCCAATCCTGAGGGGAAAACAACAGGAGGAGAAGGCCAGGGTAGTCTTTCCCCTAAATTGCCAAGACCTAGCCCGCCAAAGCAAATAAACCCTGCGTCAAAGTTCATTAAATCGCCTCAGAATGAGAGAAAGAACTATAAATGTTTTAACTGCGGACAGCCAGGCCATTTACAATTCCAGTGTGTGCGGAATAATCCTAATACATGGAAGAATGATAATCAAACCAAAAAGGTTTACTGTTTAAAACAAGTTGAATCGTCTGAGGGAAACAGTAAACATTGTCCTGTTTCCATGGCAATCACAGCTTCCACTGATCTTGAGGAGGACATTCCTGAAGCCCCTGTAGTTCATTGTTTTTACATTAGAAATGACAATACCCTTCTCAGAAACTCTGGTGAAGAGATAATGGTGGGAGGAAAAAAATACATTGCTATAAAGGACACAGGATCTCAGATTTCTATAGTACATTCTGATCTGATAACCACGGATGATATAATTCCAAATAGAACAATGACCTTAGGAAACTGTGGAGTTAAAAGTGGCTGAAATTCAAATAAGCTATAGGAATTGGTCTGGAAAGTGGCAGGTAGCCATTTCAGATGAAATACCAGCAGCTTTTCTACTTGGTTTGGACTTAATAGAGCATGTGCAGAGTGCTTTTGAAGTAACGTGTTCCATGAGGGAGCAGTTAGCAATCCCTGAGGGAAAAATTGATTCCCTAACCTCTGAATCTATTCAGGGACGCCCCAGTTCAGAAATTGGACCATGAAGTAACCAAAATGGCTGATGAGAGCATTTTGAAAACCCTTAATATTTCTTCCTGTATTGAGAAACAGATGGAAGTTAGTACTTTGAAAGATTGTATTACACTAACCCCTGAACAGCCAGAGAAATCTGTGACTGACAAAGACTTGATATATGGAGATGGGTTGCATTTGATAGAGCATGTTAAGAGTGCTTTTGCACTTACACTCTCACCAGGAGGCCAGGAATCTCCTTCTGCAGTAGAATTGGATACTGTAGCACAAGGGAGCCTGGAGGGAGAGGTTTCCATGGATACCCAGCTTAAGAGTGGTTCTGAAGCTGATCTCATGCTTGTGAAAAACTCAATTAAAAATAATTTGGCTCAGGAGCAGCAGGAGGAGATTAGTTTGGTAGATTGCTTTGAAGCAGAACCGAGTACACCCACTTTGTTGTCACCTGAATACCCTGAAAGGTCTTGCCTGTATAAGGAGCTTTTATATAAAGAAAAGTCCTTAGAGATGGCAGAGCCAAGCTTGGGAAGTGCTGCTGGAAAAGAGAAGAGCTTGTATGAGGCCCAGGAAAGAGCAGTCTGTTCTGAGGACCTAGTAGTAGAACTGAGAACTATAGTGGGGAGAAAATTGCTTTTGGCAGGGGCAGAACAAGTAGATCTTAAAACTTTGCAAAGTAAACCCCTACCTGACATATCCCTGAATAAAGAAACAGAATCAGATGACAAGTGCAGTGCACTGAAAACCAACCAATCGTTTAAGATTGCATTTAAAAGACCCTCACTTAAGAAGCTTAAAGAGACCCTTGATAGTGGTCCCCCACATAGGGAAAACATTTCAGTAAAAGTACCTGTGGGTCAATATGTGAATGAAGAGACAGGCATCTGCTTTGACGTCTTAAAGAGGGACGCATCCAGAGATGGTCGGGAGGAGGAGAGGGAACTGCGTACCCTTTCCCCAAATGAGATAGTGAAGCCTCAAGCCAGAAAGAGAGCAGGCTTCATTATAAAGCCGCCCAGAGACCTTCGGGTAGTGTGGGTGGCATATAAGTCAAATAAATAAATAAATAAATAAATAAATA